AGTGAGGATTATAGATAATGGATATCTCTGGCTGCCGGTACCAGTAGAACCAGTCCAGGCTGATGCCTGAGATGACAACATGTAAACCATACATGCATACAAGTTATGGGAGTGATTTATTCCAGGATGCAGGTTGAGTGCACTACGCTTCCTGAAGAGGACACACAATTGTTTTTAATAGCAAAATCAAGAGATCAAACAAACCAGCAGAAAGAAGAAAACAACAAAAGTAAAAACAGCGTGGTCAAAATTACACTGACGGTGCCATCATCTGTGAAACTCCTTGACTATTACATTGGAATATCATAATCCCCACTTCCCCTTTCGTTGGAGGGGACATCGATACAATGACGACACATCACTAGAAAACTAAGAACAAGTTGAACATGAGCAGAATATGTACAAAAGATGAATTAAGGTGTAAACCAGAGCGAGTGAATCTGCTGTATCAAATACAGGATGAACAGAAGGGTGATCTTGACGAAAATGGTAGCATTGGTAGTCTTGTAAAGGCCTTTCAGCCAAAGGCCTTTTCATTCAGTCTGTAGAATTGCTCAGCTGCCATCCGGTGCGTGGCGACAGCAACTGCTTACATCATTAGTGCAATCGAACAAATGAAAAGACTTCAGCAAAGAGGCAACAGAAACACTAACCAGTGTTTACACGTACTGGGGAAAAAACCGACAGGTGTATCAAAAATATCCATATACATAGTCGTCACTGTGTGGCTGTGAGTATCTTTATAAGACAATGAAACTGCTTCCAGTTGACAATGAAGACCGTGAAATATTCCTACTCATGAGATTACACTGAAAATATCGAAAATGTGCGAAGCAGGCAAAGATGAAACTGGAAACAGTTCTGCAAATTTAGGAAACTCAGTGGCAGATCATTCCAGGAAAACAGAAGAAAAAAGAAAAAGAAAAAGAAAAAAGAAAAAGCCATGTATTTTGGTAGTAGTGTAAAACACTCACACACATGTCAAAGGGAATATGTACAAAGTGGAGATCACTGTTTCTATTTACACATTTACATACATCAAACCAAACCTTTAAGGAGACATGATTCCAACGTGGGCTACGCCTAATATAGGCTGATACAGTAAAATATATCAACTACACCTTCCCTCCATGACGGCAACCTTTGTCTCCAGGGGAACGAGTCTGCTTTGACCCAGAAAATTGAGGTGGGTGGGGGTAGGGGAGGAGGAGGAGGAGGAGGAGAAAGGGCCGTGCAGATTTTTAGAAATAACTCGACTTGACAACTGGTAATGTCACTGAGCAGATCCACATCTGCTGTTTGAGGCACCATGGGACAGACAAACGTGGTACTGATTAGAAACACCGAACTTCTGTAACTTTGTGACTTTTTCAACAGGATGTGAACGTTTGAAAGATGACCAAAAAGCTGCGTGTACATACAGTAGCTAAGCTCTCCAAGTACCTGCGAGTGGAAAAATTGAAGAAAGTGCAACACCGCCCTCCTGTGTTTGCATGCGTACACTCTTCATATGCAAATTCACGAGGGTTTTCATATCATATCCTACATTCCATTATTATTATTGCCTTTGAAAAGAGAGTGGTAGAGTGGTAACTGTGGGGGGAAAAAGAAAGAAAATAAAATAGGGGGAAGGAGGAAAAACACTTTATTCTGACTTCACTATCTTAATGTAACCTACCTTTAGTGCTCAGAAATCATCTTAGCACACCTGCTACCTTGAGTGTCTACATGCTAAGATGGCTCAACCCTCTCTGACTGGGAGTCGGTGCAGTGATTGCTGATTCTATATGTGTTAAGACAGACAATGTACGCACAGATTTATTGTTTTTTTTTTCTTATAAAACACTGATGAGCGATCAAGACCTCCATCCTTGCTGGGGTGTCCAAGGCTGGTGTGAAAAGTGAACAGGGTGGAAAGGGGGGCGTCCAATGATGAAAAATACAACCCTCGGTAAAAAGAAAGAAACACCCTAGCAGGAAGAGACTGAGTGGGGGAGGAAAAAAAATAGAGACGTCCCTCCACCAGACTCACGGAAAAAAAAGAAACAACAACGAAACAAGTCGCACAAAAAGCTGGAGCAGAAGGGTTGAAGAGGCCATGGAGTGGAGGTGAAGTGTCCGAGGAGGAGGAGGAGGAAGGAAGGAAGAGAAGGAAAAGGAGAGGAGAGAGAGGGAGGAAGGCAAAGTGGAGTCCCTGTGCTCGTTAGCCGGCTCGGCTAGGCTGGGCTAGCTCATCAGCGTTGCCATGGTAGCCATCAGCTGGTCAGGTAACTGTGCAGTTCTCTGGAGTTGATGCTCAGGACCACACCTGAATGGTTGCCTGGCAACAAGGCGGAAGAAGAAACAGGACAAAAGGCAAGCAAATGAGTCATGGTAAAGGACAGAGAAAAAACAACAACAACAAAAACAATTTATGAAAAGCTGCAGTTCAGTGTTGCTAAAGGAGCCCTGTGGAGTTTTCTTATCAAAATACAGTTTGTTTTTCGTAATGAATTTTCTTCTTTATTCAGTGTTTGGCATCTGCATTATATACATACTCAGATTTCTTTGGTGAAATGAATATCGGGTCCTTAAATGGAGCCCATGCTATGACGTTTTTTAGATTTTCTCAGGTACTTTATGTTTAGGTTAAATCTTACATATAAAAGCATGAGCCCCTAAATTTTGCTCCTCTTATATTGCGTGACCACTCTGGTGTTTACACTGGCTGAGCGTGATTAGAACAATGCTTCCCTCTCCTGGACAAACATGGCCGATTCGTTTGTTATTCTGAAAATATCTGTGGTGACAAAAAAAGAAGCCATGCAGCCGTTAAGTCTGGCTTCATTTGAGATCAACAACGGTTTATTCAAAAGGTTTTCGGGAGTTTCCAGAGGCAGACGGCGACAACTCGTTTTGCATGAAGTAGGCTAGACCTCAGCTTTATGCAAATCACTCAGGTAGACTGCCAAATAGATATATTTACTATATATTAAGCGTATAAACCTCAATCAGACACAATGGTAAAATGCCACTTACATACCAATGCAGCAGTGTTACCAATCAGCAACATGATAAATGAAATCACTTTTTTTTGGAATAGCTGCAGTTGAAACCTCCACAGGGTACCTTTGCACCAGCTTAGCATCCATGCAAAACGAACAACAATTCCTCAATGCTTTGCTTAAAATGTTGGTCACACCCAACGATGTAGCAATATCGTATCGTATCGTATCATATCGTATCGTATCGTATTGTATAGTATGTCTATACATGCTGCAATTAGGATTTAGTTATGAAAGTAGTTAAAACACCCTAAGAGTATAAAATAATCCATAATCCAGGACGAGGTTGTTCCTTAATTCTTTGGCAACTCAATTTTCAAACTTTTCAGTCTACGTCAATCTGATGGTCTGTTATGGCGCAATAACATGTAAGCAATGATATGATTAAATGTGCTTGTAAATGCAGGTGATGACCATAAAACGCCTCGTGACCAATCTCGGAGGCAACAGTAAAGATCTAAATAGTCACAGCAAAGATCAGAAAACTTGAGCAATAGCAGTGATAATAATAATAATAAAAAAGGGGGAAGTCCTCCAGTACCTTGGTGTGTGTTAGCTGCTGGTGTTAGTGGCTTGGGTTTTAGTAGCAGTGGTTAGTGGTAGTCCTTATAAGGGAACGGAAGGCGGGGCTACCTCCTGCGTTACCTAGAGTCTGCGAGTCCAGGTCGTCGTCAATGAACTCCTCGCCCTGGATGATGTGCTGGGTGTCCTCGCTGTGATTGACGGGGCTGGTCATCTCCTGCTCCTTCTCGTTGTGCATCTGGGCGTAGACGTTGCGGCTGCCTGGAAGCTTCCTGAAAAACAGCGGGGGATAGGCATCCTCAGTCCTAAGCCAAGGACTGTGGGATTTGGTGTTTTCGTAAGATGGGGCTGTAGTTCTGCATGTTTTAATTCAAAGTGACTTTTTGGTGGACATTGGTGTTCAGGACGCGAGGAGGTGCTGCAGGTGGGTTATTGGTGTGAAAAGAAAGCATGCAGTTATGTAAGATATACAACCAACTGGGAAGTTTCATGCAAGCTAACAGGGTAAGACGACACTGTATACTGTGAGAAATACATTTATATAAATGACATTTTCATATATTTTATTTCATGTATGAGTAAAACAAGATACAACATGATACTCAGATGCTACGCTAAGAGTCTGGTTCAAAAGATGGCGATGGTGGTTGTTTGGTTAGTTACTTTGGTTTAGGGTAAAATCAGCTGCTTTGACATGAACGTAGGTACACACACATTCATGTGGAAGCTTACTGACTTTAGGAATCCCCTTATTTTTCATCTAGCGCCACCATAAGAGAAAGGTTTCATAATCTTGTGGCATATCTCAAAATCAGCTTCATGGACTGGTGCAAACTTTGGTATCGGTGTTCACCAGTGGACACTTTTGGGAATCATCTGATTTTTCATCCAGCGTCACCATGACATCAAGGTTTTCATTACCTTGTGACATATCTCGAAATCAAATTGACTGTGTGTTTACAAAATGAGCATGTTAACAGTAGCATTTAGCTAAAATCACCGTCATTTATCAGCACATCCTTATAGTAGCTTGTTTAAACCAAGTAACAATTTCTTAATTGAATTTTCCAAAAATGCATTTTTACCTTCAGACATTGTAATATCTGAAGCTCCTTTGTCTTTATGCACGAGTTGACTATTTTATGCAGTTTCAGTTCCCTCTGAGATCATCGACGCTTCAAAATTCAGCTATAAACTTTGCTTTTTTTTTTTTTTTTTACAATACCAAGTCTTTGGATTTTGATCTATTGGGTGATGCAACAAATTCAGTGCATGTACCTTACATTTAATTAATTATATATGACATATTTTACTGTATTTTTTTTTTACAAAATCTATCTGTAGCTACAGTATCTCTACGCTCTTGAAAACAGATTACAAAACAATCGTTACTTGAGTCTAAAAACGGACTCATAAGCCAGGGAAAACATAGAGGTCATGAAGTGCAACGATAGCCCAATATTTTATCTAAAAGTAACACTAAGAAGCAGAAGAAAATGCTACAATTTCTATTTTGAAATGCCACATCTCTTTAATGTGACATAACTCACCTTTTGAACTTGTAGAGGATGAAGGAGCCAGTTGCAATGATGCTGATTAGGAAAATGACTGCTAGAGCCCAAACACCTGGACTTCCCGCTGCTCCGTGGTAGCCTGGTGTGACGATACATACACAGACGTAGCAGTGAAGAATGCATCATGTTTGTACAATCAGAGATAAAAAATTGATGAAACAGTGCTGCTATAGGCAAATCCACAGAGTACACTGAGGACGAAGAAAATCTTGAGTCAAGAACAGCAGAAGCAGAGGGACAGGAGAGGCAGAAATCGGAGACGTTCAAAACCACAAGTCTGTAAGGAAGAAGCCACCTTATATAGAAAACTCAACCATTCTGAACACAGTGATAGGTAATCAGGTGGTAAAAGCATAGCGCGACACAGGCAGGCTCAGACCGGAAAGGATTTTGAATGGTTGGAAAACAAGGAAAGGAAAAGGCACAGCAGTCAAAGCTGAAGCTAGAGTGGGGAGGCTAGATGCTTTCATACGGAAAGCTGCAGGTGTTTTGTTCATGAACGCACCATTCTCTGCCGCTGTGGTTGTTGAGTCATTAGCAATAAGACCTAGTCCTTGGGAATAAACATGCAATTATCATTCAAAAAATATTTAATGGCAGCTCTAAATGGGAAGTAATGCAGTATAGTACACGGCAAAGCGTACCTGCGTTCGGGTCAGCTAGCATCACCAGTACTTGTAGACCTCCTCGCACCACGAAGCTGACGTTGTTGTCACTGAAGGCCTGCATGATGGCTGGAATACGCTAAAGATGAGAAAATATTAACTTAAGGAAAGATACTCATATTTTATTCCTTATATCTTTGTATTCCAAGAAATGGAAGGGAAAGACTATAAACACAAAAATGTAAATATCTGCATGTATAATGTACCTTGTCTACAAACATGCTCCTCTTGGCTGGTTTGCTGTCCAGTGGGAGGACGTAGAGGTCAGCAGTGGTGGGGAGGCCTGGTTTTACCACCGTAACCAGCGACTCCTGAGGTACACCTGTGATCTGAGGTCAGACGGTCAAAGGTCATATTGGCATACCAACACCTAAGGAATGACATTTTTATTTTCCGTCTATATTATTCTGATCCATAGTAGACATCGGTACAAACAGATGTATTTTCTGTACCAGATCCATTATTTTTCTGAACATTTTTTTTTAGCATGTAGGTTGTGTTGTTGTGAAATCACTTCCTCATCATTTTGTTGTTTCACTTTGTACCTTGGCCAATATTTTGGTGACCACCTGGCCGATGTCATCTCTCCACTCTGGAATGTTTGGGTTGAAGCGGTCCAGGTTCCTGCTGAAGCTCAGGGGGACGACCTGGAAGTTATCTGAAGGAAAAGTCAACAATCATGTTTAGATTTGGAATTATGATGCAAATCTAAAAACTGTCACGGGAGTATAAAATAGTCCACAGTAAGTGAATTGTTAGCACGATGGAAGTAACTTGGTGGCATATATGACAAAGATGTACAGGAGTGTGTACAGGAAACAGGAACAATCTGAGCAGAATCATATGGTCCATGCTACTACAATCACAATCGTCTATTCTAACTGAACTGGTTCATAGTCATCATTCAGGTTTAAAGTGACATTTCTTGACTCTCCTCAAATACAAAAGCCTGCACCTTATAAATAAAACAAGCACATCTGTTTCTAACAAAGAAATCTGACATAATTCATCCTCTGACTCGCTTACCAACAACAAGAGCTGAGATCACACAATATTTTAAGGCAACAGTGGAAAAAATGTCAGGCAGCAGATTTGTCTCAGATGTGTCTGAATGAGTCATAGGCCAGGAATAGTTGTAGAAGTTTGACTTTTGCTTGAGGAATGTTGACAACTCCATCTCCTGAGATGCAGTTGAAAGCTCTTGAAACTGCCAAAGTAACATGAAGGCCTCAATAGATTTAAAAAAATAAAATAAAAAAATCCAGCTACTGCTTCTAAGGGTTAGAATAAACTGTCATGTTTAAAGATTTAAGCTTTAAGGCAATGCTTTTTTTCTTTTATGTATTGTCTGTAGGAATCAATATAGTAATTCAGTGTTTTATCTTATGGCTAATAGGTGACTACAACCTTCACCAAAACTCCATGTCACACTTGTTTATTTATTTCTGAATCTAAAGTCTTCAGTCATTATAGTTTATAGCCCAATGATAAAACAAACACATTCAGTATGAGAATGTCACTGTGTTACCATAGACTCGGACAGTCCTGGTGTCCTGCACCATGGATCGGCCGTTGGAAGCCTGGACGGTGACGGAAACTTCTCCCGTGTCTGGAAAACGAGTCAGAAGACTGTTCCGCAGAGTCAGTGTGGGCTGTGTGAGAAAGTCATAAGTTAGCTAAAGCCTGTCTGGAAGGTCTGGGAGCAGAAGCAAAATGTTCTATATATAAAAATGGATCAGATGGATGTGAAAAGTGCTGCATGTAGTGATGGACCAACAAGGAATTATCACCTGAACCTGTTTGCCTTCGCTTGATAAAACCATTTAGTCTATTTTAGCTCACTGTTTTGGTTGTCAGACCCCCAACTATGCTTTCCTTAACTTTATTTCCAGTTGCAGTGGCCATCTGTTTTCAGGAAGAACGCTGTGCTAAATCCATTGTTCCTTTTTGTACCCAGATGGCAAACAGACAATGCTAACAACTAGCAAGTGAACATTCAGCAGTTAATGAGTCCGACATTTTCCTCAGTGGTTGGTTGAGAACAAAACAGAGCTAAAAGGAGAAAAAAAAGAACTTAAATCCAAGAAGTGAATTCAACCATGACTCCAAGGGAATTCTATTATGACTGTGTGTGCTGCATTTGTAGTGTGCTTTTTTTTTTTTGCTAAACATAGGCAGCTGTAATAAAACAGTGCTAGTCAATGTTGTAAGATGACATTTGCGGTGTGTCCTTTACCCGGAGGCTGTCTCCTATCCACCAGTAAAAAACAGTCATGTTGGCCTCAGTGGGAAGAACTATGGCTGTCAGGTTGACCTCATGGTTTCTCCCAGCGATGGGAACCACTTCCAGGTGCACTTCCTGTAGAGGGGCTGCAAGAGATTAAAAACAATGTTGTTGTTCGTTAGATAAAGCCTAAATGAAGTTAATTTAAACACTATAAATTGAATATGAATGTTCTTACATTGCAGGTCAAAGTCTCACAAAAAATATTGCAAAGCTAACTAAATGTTGTATTACAGTAAAGACAGCTCAGAAGATCTTTAATGGTCAGCTTACACCAACCGCAACATTGAGACCTCTTGTCAAATATTGTGTCCCCACCGCATGATGTCAAACTAGCTCTGACACCACAAGATTAGATATCAGGCATCAAGACATTAGCGACAGATTCTTTAAGTCCTGGAAGTTGTGAGGTGCGGCATCTATAGATTAGACTTGTTTTTGCATGGAACTGAGACCTGAGGAATTTGGAAGCCAAGGTAGCACCTTGAACTCTTTGTCATGTTCCTCAAACCATCACTGAATGATATTTGAAGTGTCAGGGAGCATAATCCTGCTGAAAGAGGTGTCATCAGGAAGTACTGCTGCCATTAAAACAACACTGTTTAGGTTGGTGGTACATGTCCGTTTGGTCCATGGTCCAGTTCTGACTCTCATATGCCCATGGTAGGCACTTCCAGCATTGGTCATGGGTCAACATGGGCACTCGGATTGGTCTGCAACTCTCACAGAGAGGAAGTACCTTCTATCACAGCCAGAATTATGTTGTTTGATTTGTTGTTATTTTTTTTTTTTAACAATTTGTACTCTGGCAGATGTTTTGCTGGATTGGAAGACATGTATCAGCCTTCCACCTCCATGTGCATAATTAGGTCTGGAGCGCCCATGGACTTGTTGTAGACTCAGTGGTTATCGTAACCACTTCATATCTGGAACACCCTATAAGACCTGCTGTTTTGGAGATCCAGTCTTCTGGATTTGGCTCTTTTTGAGATCCTTAAGCTGCCAATATTTCCTGCTTCCCTACATGAAATTCAAGAACTTGCTGCTTACTTGCTGCCTCATAATCAGTGTTCTTTCCCTGTTAGGGGTTTAATAATATGGTTGATCAGTGTATACACACAAAGACAAAGCAACACTTTGAGTTTTTGAGACAGAGCCGTCAAACAAATGGCAGGAAATCATTTCTGCTCGGGAAGTAAAAAATTAAAAGCTACCACTGAAGTAAGATTCCGACCTGTCTCCTTAAACAGCAGGGGATGAGTATTTGGCAAAGTTAGACATATCAGAGATGAATGAACTGACTGCAGAAGGGTGTTTTCATCATCCTTTCCCTTAAAAGAAATACAGATCAAAGGAGTGGCAGGTTACTGACAGGTTGTGTGATATCTGATGCTGAGAACTACAGAAATCAAAAACTTCACTATCACCTGAAAAGGAAAAAAGAGAAAAAGATGGTTACTGGGAGGCTGACCTGTGACCTGGATGTACATGGTGGCTTCGTCGTGTCCTGCCATGTTCTCAGCCTTCACTGTGACCTTATAGACTCCTGGGTTTTCATAGCGGTGCTGGATGGGTTCATCTGTCACCGTCAGGTTCTGGTAAATGGCCCGAACCCCATCACCCAGGTCAACCTGGTACTTGGTGCTGCTGGTGTCGCCCTGTTGGGAAGGAACAAGGACTTTAAACTGTTTTAGATCAAATTAAGAAGGAAGAACCAACCAAAAACAACCTTTATCCTACCTGCTCCTGGTGGACAATGAATGTGATGTCATCACCTGGTGCCACAGCCAGCATCTGCCCTTTTATGCCAACCTGTAGTCCTTTAGGCGGCAACAGGGGGCAGCTGTGCTGTTTTGTGCTCTGCTGCTTGTTTAGTCCCCCGTCACATATGTTAGATATCACCTTCCTGTAGCTGAAACACAGCAGAGGATCGTACAGGTGTGAGCATGAAGGTGAAGACAGAATTCTTAAATAAATACTTTAACAATTAAGCCAACAGTAACCACATCATATGTCGGTCCTGTCAGTATTCCGATTACAATGAAATGAGGAACATTAACTTGAACGTTCAGCTTTGGAATTTCAGATTAAAAACTATTTTTAACTGATCACCTTTAACACAAATCTAAGTCCAATCCTTCATTTAAGTTTGCTGCCATGCAGGCGTTGAGAACTTTAAAGGATTCCTAATGACAGCACTATAATCGATCCATAATTGATTAATTTGTACAACAATGTGAGTACATTAGAAACTTATCCTGTGCTGTATTGCTATTTTAAGCCACAGACACATTCTGGCCACCAAGGCAGCTGCTAAATGCACCACTAGGATATTAAAACACTATCCTAGTTAATCCTGGCTTGATTTAACATACTGAATATGCGCTTGCTGGATGTTACTAAGCGTCCCCAAAGATCTCATCATGCTGCCCCTTTACTAGCTCAACCTCCCTGATGCTTTCTGCTTAGCAAACAGAGCCGCCACAGTCCGTGTGACAGCCTCCTGGTTGCTACAGCGCTGTACGGCTCTAGTACCTGGTGGCATAAGCAGATACTACAGCTGACCTACAGTACTTGAAGTGTGTATTATCTAGGAAAATGGTATCAGATTAAAAGATTGAAACTTGGTATCGGCAGATATGTAGTATTAAATTACTTGTATCAAATCAGTGGCAAAAAAAAAATATTTTGGAGGTCTCAAATCTTAATGCTGCATTAATGTTCTGGTAGTGTTATTGTCTACTCTCCATACATCTGGATGAACTGCAGTTAGATGCCTTGCCAATATTTTTCTTGATACTTCATGTCATTAAAGCCTCTTTGTGTGTGAGTGTGTTCACAGACCCAGTGCTGGACTCGTAGTTTTGTCCTAGATGACAGTCCTCGGGTGGAGAATCTGGATCGTGCCAGAAGTCAGCGAAGCAGCGTTCGCCCTCCGTGTGGGATCTCTCAAAACCATAGTCACTACAAACACAACACAGACACACAGTTCTGAAAATTGCTATATGTTCATGGAAGCAGCAACAAAATTCTGGCCTAAGAAAGTAATGGACACAGTAGAGACATTGGGGGTAATGTATTATGTAGCTGTGAATATGCTTACAGCTTCACTTTATTATATGATGCACAGAGTTTTATAGCACTTGCCAATCAGAAATGAATATTTCCCATAGTGATGTTACATCTATATAAAGACTTGTTTTCTGAAACACTATCATTATGTTCCATTGCCCACTTGGGGTTTATTCTTATTCATTCAATATATAGTTACTGGCACTCTGTGTAATCGGGTTTTAATCTACAATAATCCAAGAAAATGTCATCTGATTTGAATTCTGTTCAGTGTTTTCTAAAAATCCGTGGCTCACCAGTTGAAGTCTTTCTCGGTGCACTGGCAGGATTTGTTGGTGAGAGCAGAGATGTAGCTTTTCCCTTTGATGCAGAACGCCGTGTCCTTTCTCTTTCTGAAAGTCCGTTCCTGGCCCATAATGCACTTCTCTCCCTGAGGGTGACATAAGCACACACGAACACTTAAAATTATTGTGTGCACTACAATCGAACGCAACCCTTTACGACTGCTGTGACATAAAGTCTGCAGCTGTGACCTCAGTAATAAATGTATAATTGAATTTATTTCACCCAAAGCTGAACATTCTAAATCCCACAACAGTAGAATTTATTGTCCTGCATTGGTTCATAAAGGCATATCTAAGAAAACTTCCATGAAGCGTAAGTATGTGTCTGTATTGTGTTTGTGTGTATTACCTGCAGGTCAGTGAGCTGCCAAGACTCATAATCAGACTCAGTGCACTGACGGGGGAAAGACTGCCTGAAGTCCACTTTGACCAGCTCCCAGTCGGACCTGTAGCTGATGTGACCGAACACACTGCCAACACACAAACACACACAAGCAGCCATATATGAATATACGGTTGTTAAGCATGGAAATGAAATAAAACCCAGTCACCAGCTATCTAATGATAACGATTTAGTGAGTCCATCTTTCATATCACCGTAGAGCACTCTGAGCCTTTTCCAGCATGTAACCACGGTAACCATACACAGGGATGGTGACCTCAAAGTGCTGATTTCAACTAATTAAAAATGCAAAAATGGAAGTAAAATGACACTGACGAAACCGGACGAAAATGTTTTCAGTTTTTTGTTTATTAAAATTACACTAAATATATATATTTTTTAAATGACTAAACTGAAAATTAACAAATTAATTCCAATTTTTGTCAAAAGGCTAAATCAAAATCAGGCGCTATAAGTAATCAGAAACAGATTAAATTTAATAAAAAGGTGTGTGTCTGTTTTAAGATTCAAAAGCTAATAGAAAACTATTTCAAATGAGAAACATTCTTTCAGGCAGCATCAATGCATTTTGCTCAAAGCGACAAAAACAAACCAGTAATCCTGGACTGGAATACGACCTCCCCATTGTTTGCCACAGTCGTCCTCAAACGTATTCATACCCTCCCATTAAAGAAGGAAAAAAAAAAAGATATCACTGAAATAAGTTGAAATTGTCAAAAGTAACAATAAATAATAGTGTAATGAAAATCATGACGTTGCTTTAGAATAGTGGTTCAACAGAAATATTTACAAAAACAGCAAAAAAACCAAGCAACCAAGCATGATGGGACCCATAAACTAATATTTTGTTGAACAACTCAAGTGTTTTCTGTAACTCTCAATCAAACTTCTGCACCTGTTGACAGGTATTCTGATTTTGGCCCACTGCTCATCAGCAAAGTGCTCTAATTTGTCTGGGACAGTCTTGTGGATTTTTTTAAATTATTCTTTTCAACCACAATCAAAAGTAATGTCTTACTTCACAAAATTCAAATTCAGCAAGTTTTTAGAAAAATTATTATTACTTTTTTCAGTTTCTTTTTATTTGAGTGACTATTTTGTCTTTTCTTTAATGGAAGCGTCTGAATACATTTGAGGACGTCTGGATGTTCGTTAGTGGTCATCACAAAATCAACCAAAATAATAAGACTGGTATGTTTTGTTTTCAACCTCTAACATTTGTGTCTTTTCCAATGTAGAAAAGAAAACACGTTGTTGTGAATCATTCTGACCTTAAGAATAAAAAAAGGGTTAAAAAAATAAATGGATGGATAAAGTTCTGAGTCATTTTCAAGTGGCTTGACATGCATACATATTCCTGTTCATGTAATAGTTTTTACATGTATAAAAATAACAATGTAATACTCTGATGGTGACTACGCTGTAACATTAAAAGAAAAAAAAAGTAGAAGGTTTGCTAAGCATTTGGTAAAGTTTTTGCCACCTGTAAGGATCCGTCTGCCTCCATGGGTGTCACATAAAAGCTCTATTTTTTTAAAAATTTCCCACCAGCGTCATCTTTCCTTAGTGTAAGAAGTACATTTATTAAGCCTCATGATACTTCACACACATCTTCAGCTTGCATCGGTGTATCTACTTGTGTCTGGACTTTGTATATTAGTGCGACCTCTAAGCCATTTTATAATGCAAATAAGCATTTTTCAGCTGATTAGTGATACAGTTGTATCATTCTCTGTATATTCACCTCTTAAGTCTTCAATCCACCGTGAACCCAGCTGCTGAATGAGATCAGTGCTCCCGAATCCTTGCTTTTGAGTTTCGGAAAACCATTAGTCAGGACTGGAAAACCTCATTCAATTCCCAAATCCCCTCTTTTTGAAGACTCTGCAAGTCATCATCCATTTGTATTTGTCCAGTGGTACAACATCTGGCTCACTTTGACATCCACATGATGTCGTTTTTCAACACGGAGCAATCTTTACCTAAACTGTTCTTGCAGCATTACATGTGGATTAATTTCTCCTTTGGGAGCATAAATAAACTCCTCATGAAGAGATGAAGCTGTCTGACGGAGCTACACTTCCTCCTCCTCTCCACTAGATGGTGATGTTCTACAGGGCAACACAGGTGGTCCCATTCCTGAGAGCGGTTGTCTTTTCCTTGTGTGTCAGTCAGAGCAATTTTTCGAGGCAGACTGATGTGACTCAAGTCAGCGACTCCGACATATGTTGCTGTGCCGGTGGCGGCCTGCGATCACCTCGTTGGAGTGCAAGGCGAGCATGACTAATGCTGTCTTCACCGCCATCATTAAAGGGAAGTGATGGATGTTTCAGCTGCGGACTCACATATGCTCCCGCTCCACCTTCTCTCTCTTTTTACCTCTTTCATTCCTGTTGTTCATCAACTGCTTTGCGGTTTACCTCCACTTTTCTACCATTATCGTCTAAAAATTTCCAAAAACCTCTTGCTTCTTACAAAATGTGAGCTCTCTTAAATTGCAAAAAGTTTTTCACAGGTCAGGGTCAGATTACCTTGCGAGGGGGACCCAGAGTCAGGTACAACTGGCAAGGAACTTAACTTATGGCAGCTTAGAGTTACCCAAAGACAAATTTCTTAAACAGAAATAATTAAACAACTGCTAATGAAGAGAATCCAGTGAGATGATGAAGCTCAAATAAGGAAAACAAAAACTTGTTGGAAATATAAATATCCTGTTTACTTTCTGTATTATTTTGCAGAAAGTAACAGTTTCTGGCCTTCTTTCAGGACAAATTTTGTCAAGGCATCAAAAATCCTTCAGTAGCTCCAAGGAAAATTCTCTTATCGTCACTTTAGATGTTTCAATCTACATAAAGATTGTTTTGTTGGAGGTTTGAGCACTTGGTGCCCTGATGGTTAAAGGCTTACACCATCTGTGCTCCTGATTTATTGTCTGTAACTCCACTAATGCTTTCTAAAAAAGGCAACAAAAAAAAAAATGGGAGGAAAAAAAAAGCACATTTATCGAGACTTACATTATATTGTCCTCTTGACCATCTGCCAGTTTAGTTATGGAGCACTTTTCTTGAATAAAATGGTTTTTGGCAACAATGTCAAAACATCTGGAGTCTTTTTTTTTTTCCCCCTGTATGACTTCGATCTTCACGTCCAATGTTCAGTTTGTTACGTTTTTGACTGCTGATTTGAATAAGCAGGACCTGAACAGTGTACAGTGCTTCTTCTTTGTCCTTTGCTAAAATTACATGTGCATCAAACTTATTCACCAACAGTCATATTCCACTGTGGAGCCTTTTAAACATGACTGAGTTTGTGCAGTTAATTTTGCTGGAACCACAAGGTCCAATTTTGAATCCGACTTTTCTCTGTTCTGGAAAGTTTGACTTGAGTTGGAATTTTATTTCAAGGCATATATGTGACCCATCTGCAGTGGCATTGCGCCTTGGGCTATATCTGAGATACAGCCTGAATTATGTTAACACATGATAAAATATTGATTTTGAGTTTCTTACTTAGATCGGTCCATTTAGTCGTTTTTTACATGTAGGTAACATATATCGCTGTCAGGCGCAATGATTTCATGCAGATGGGTCACATTCCTCAGATTCCAGCATAATAACCCAAAACAACTAGACATATTTTTTTTCTCACTCATCTATCTACCCTACATGTGCTCAGCAATTTAATGACTGCACATTTTTAACTCCTATTGCTTTGTTTATACATTAATTCCCACCAGCCTCAGAGTTAATTTAGCACTTTTTTTTTTTTTTTAACTTTTGAATAGGCACTCAAGAGCCATAAGAGCTCTATTAGTGGACAAACAACACTCCAATCAGCTCAGTGAAAACAAATCAACACTCATTAACAATTCCTCTTGTTTAAAAAAAACAACAACACAACACTAAGGAGGAGAAAACAGGATCGGGAATTTGTTTGGAAGTCATTTCCAGGAGAGTTCGTGGGTGCACAACGAGATTAGAGGCAGAGATTCACTTGTTTGTGTAAGTACGCTGCTCGGGGTGCGTGGCGCAGGAAAACTTGGAGAGCCAAATGGTTTAGCGGCAGCAGAACGAGCTGGCATGATGATCTCACACAGCGGCATGTGCGGTAGAAGCCCATTGTTAGTCTGTGCAGTCTCTGATATTTGACCAGCTGTCATTAGTATGAGTGGTGGACGGGCTCTGGTCCCCCACCTGTCCTTGGTGCTAAGTCACTGCTCAAAGACTTCATTATGGGATGGCAGGCTGTGCCGTCAAAAATCGAAACTCCGTGGCAAGGAAATAGACCCTGGCTAATCTGTCAGACATGAGCTGCCCTCAACACCCCTCCTTGGCCGCCGACCCTATCTCGCTGGAGCCAGATGGGCAAAGTTTATATGTGTGTGTGTGTGTGTCAACCCAGAGGGTGTGTGTCTGACATGGCAGATACTGGTGAGTGAGTCTAAATGTTCAAGCTTCTCCCCCTCGTGTGCCTGTCTATGTGTGTGTGTGTGTGTGTGTGTGTGTGACCATCTCTTTGCCCTTCTTGGCGGATTACAGCTGGAAGCCGGCCTTATCTGTGCGCCAAGGCCTGGAGTCTGAGATGATGTGACAAGTCTCACTCCAGCTAACTTACTGATGGAGAGATTGGGAGAAAAGAGAGAGACAGACTTTGTGCCTAAAAAGATATGAACTCTTGAAGCCGAACAGTCTGGGTCTGAAGCTGCTGATGCGCTGACATTTTGTGCCAGCATTTAGGGTTCTTAATTTTGACCATTTTCATGTCAAAGAACTCGCCAGATTGAGGTTTGTGTGAGACAATGATGGCAACACTATAAGTCTAGAGCCACGTTAGCAGACTCGTAATGCTCCTGATAACACTAGAAATCAAATAAAGTCTTACTATCCTCCAATCTGATCCATTAGTAGCTTAAAAACTGCTTGTTAGGGTTTCCAGTTGGGTTTCTACAATGTTAGACGGACCATAAATCTGTCCAGCTGAAGACAATACAGGGCTTCTTCATTCTGAAGTAATCCAATTGAGGGGTTACCATCAAAAGTTTAAGTTTTGTGGCAGAGGATGATGATTTCTGGTAGTTGCATGTAGGCCTACTGTTAGGAAAAAGCTTATGACAAAGATACCCACTCAATTTGGAAAAGCCTTATGTTAGCTTTGACCTTATGAGGCCTACTCTATTTTCAGGGTA